GCCCGTAACACCCCCTGTCACCCCGCTCACTTGCACCACCAAATCACCACAATCCCTGAATTAGCAGAACAGTAGAGGTTATGCGTCGTACCACGTGCTGCGTGCTTTAGCTAGGGGTGTAGTACCAAGTACCATCCAGCCACACTATCCCACAGCCATCTTTCCGCGCCACCGAGTGAAGAGTGGCACATTTCTGCGGCTTCGGACTCGTTCTTCATGGGAAGGGCCAGGGTCATCGGACCTCGGTCTTTGGTTCATGTGCCCCTTCCTTAGCGCTATTCTTTTTAAAAGCGTGATTTTTTTTCAAGCCAATACCATTTTCTTACTTGTATATTTACAAAAACCCTTCGTTCAGAGTCGGAGATTCATGCTTTGGGTGCGGCCGCAATATGACTTGTTTTTTGGAAGAAGAATACAGAAGGTTATCAACCTATTTTCTCTGATAACAAAACTGGGCTTTGATTAATGCTTCCAGAGCTGGAGAATACGCATTTGCCGATAAAAATGATCTCAGAAAGCCAGAAATAACTAAAGAGGATATTCACGTTTTTCCGCAAAACTGGTAAGTTTTCTCAATCACTTCAAAATCGCAAGATATTATATAGTAGAAGTGGGCAGGGCTGTCTCCGGTAGGATATTGCATTGTTTTTCTCACTGCAGATATTGGGGCGTGTCAGAGGGGCTGGTTTGGCGCGGCACCAGCTCGTTTTCGACCAGTTGTTGTCGCATACTCGCTTTAAAAATTGGTGGCGAAGGGGCTGGCGCCGTGTAACATTACCCCCTCCCCCGTCCCTGACACGTCCCATCACCCGAAGGAAAAACGACAGTATGTTTGGTCCAAGACTTCAAAAGGAGTGCTTAACTGCTGTGCGGAACATTGTGGTAGTCACCGAGAAGCCCCACAGTACCATTCGACGACGTTTTGTGTTTCTTCCCTTTCTTTTTTCTTTCTTTCTCCCTTTATTTCCTTTCCTTTTTTGCCCCCTGATATAAAACCGCTAAAAATTGGTGAGTACCATCCGATAGCGTGAGCGTAATTCAGGAGATGTGATATGGATGAATTCTATGACAGATACCAGTTCATACGGTACTCAAACGATCCCAGCAGGACACTTTTGGAGGATCTGACGCCACTGCTGAGATCTCAGAACGTGAGTCCTACTGTTCAACTCATACGAAAATCACAAAAACCGCTTTTCCCCTCCTTTACCCAACATTCTATTCTATTTTGAAGGTGTCGGAATCTGCAATCAACTACATTTCGGAATCGCTCCGTTCCGGACGTACTGCTCACAGTACCGTGAAAACTGCTGCACGAGAGTTCCTTGAAGATCGGATTCGCCACAGTCCATACCTTATGGAATTGATTGTTCGTCTATTTTATTACGATTACACGCTGTTCAACTATCCACTGCCAAATTTGGATCACCTTTCTGAACAAGATCTCACCACAATTTCGACTGTATGAAAATTTTTTTCGTTCTTATGTTAGTGGTCCGTAATGGGGTGTCCCAAAAGTTCGTGACAATTTTTTCGGAACACGTCTCAGCAGGGTACACCATCGTTGTGTGAAACACATGGGGAGGTCGCACTTGGCCGCTGGGGAGGAAGGATCGTATGTGGCTTTGAGAAATCCCTCCCGGAGTAGCACCGAGGCCCCTTCTAGGTGGAGGCGGGGGAGTCGCAGCGGGACCCTCCCTCGAGGGGGGAAGTCGTAGTGACACCACCGTTTCACACATCACGATGCTTTACCCTGCGTCTCAGATTTTTTTTGTAGCAATTTTGAAATCCAGTTATATGGTCTGTAGAAAGCGTACTAAGTAATCAACCAGTGGACGTTTCACGGCCCACCGCAGCGGCAGCTCTTCTATCTAAAAATGCACATGACTTTCATCATTTCTGTCACCTTAGCTGTCTCTATAATCTCGACAAGGTCACGCCGAGGTTGGAGCCGCACGCGGCGCTACCTGGCTGTAACCAGTTCATAGGAATCAGCTCGCTCTCTAGTCACTACAGCTGACAGTCCCTGTAGCACATATGACAGAGGCCCTCAAGAAGTAGTGAGGGTCGGGCGAAGAATTCTCCCCGAGCTGGCCAACTTAAGGAAGATCGTATGTGGGTAGTATCTACAACTCCTTCTTTGCTCTCGCCATGAACAACTTCACTAGAGATGAAATACGTCTACATAGTTGGACCAATTCGACTGGCCAGATCTTTCAGAAGAGGCAGAACCGTCGTGCAATCCTACTGATCCAGTAGAAAGGTGACACTGTGTACGGTGTTAAGTCATTCATGGGCTTCACCGCGAGGAATTTCTTTGAACCAGCGCTATGGTTACCAGCGTGTTTTCCCGTAATCAACTGGTGATGTTGGTGGAGAAACTTCGCCATCTGTCCCTATAGCGAGCAAAGTTTGCCTACTCCATGACAGCCCAGGACTACACGTTCCGAAAATAATACAGCTCGAAATCGTAACCCTAGGTGGAGCATTCCTCTGCACCCACCGTTAATCTTGACTTAGCCCATCTCGACTAGTCCCTCAGCAGCCATCTTCCGGGTGAGAAAAACGATTCTTAAAAGCACCCCAGACATGGCGTGACTGCCTATATAACCGTAACTTTCTCGGCACAGAGCCGAAAATCTTCTGAAGAGAGGCGACCGCGTTTAGCTCAGCCGCTGTCAACAACGGCGATGACTGTCGGTTAGTATTGCTTTCTTGTGAAGTTAAATTGGTAAACTTGATCTGAAAAGAAGGATAAGATATGTCACGAACTTTCGGAACACTCTCTTCTCTTCATTTCTATGTTATTATCTTGCTATTTAGGTAGCGATTTCTTAGGAGTCATCTCTATGAAACTTTGAGCTTTTAGAATTTTTAGGACTTCATTTTCGGGTATGGTAACCGTTTTCAGTGATACCGAAATTTCATGAATGTAGTACTGTCCCTTCACTTTGTTTCCATAAAAGGATAGAGTACGGTATGATCGATGTTGGTGAGTCTCATTTGGAGTACGCCACATAGAGCTGATAAGATGGGGATGGGTCGGAGAGGTTTCTGGAGGGAGGGAATGAGCCCTTCTGTGACGTTTCCACCGCTGTTCTTTTCCTGAATGGATCAATAAGCGATCACTATCGGTAGGGCAAGGCAGCCGCAAGTGGCCCTTAACAACACCCCGCACGTTATCAGCTACACAGATTTTATTTTCTGTTCAAAATCGTGTTAACATTTTGATGTAAATTTGAAGAATAAAACAATTGAGCTCGTCTTCTTGTGATGTTCTCTCCAACAGATGTTGTATTACCCACTCAAAAGCAGCGTCTTTCGTAGGTTAAAGGGCTCAGAATCATTAGATTGAATGGAAGGTGGAATACTCATGAAGAAAAAAAAGCTGAAGAAACCTTTGGAGACGTTCTGAATAGGAAATTGTTGGCTCTAAGCATCAAACGAATGCAGTGCAGAGAGACTACGCGTCAAAAAAGAGAAGCAGAACATGGTATGGCTAGAGAATCACTAAATTTTCTATAATTTTGTAGTGTAAAAGCTCCACCACCTTGAACAGCGACGACGACTGCAGCGTCCATCATCTCTATCAGTTGTTATCGCTTTTTATCAACCACTATTGATGACCGCATTTCGTCCTCTATATTACTTGTATGGAAACGATCGAGACCTCACAGCTATAAGGGGATGTAAGGGAAGCTATAAGGGAAGCTAAACGTAATAGCCGGCGTCTAACTATTCAGGTTTTTGATGTTTCACGTACCTTCCTCATAAGTACAG